ATATCCCCTCCTCTGTGAAGCCCTCCTCTTTCCAAATACACATTCTTTCCTCTGTGAGCCCATAGCCTGTTATACCACTTATACCTATATTATAATTCTTATCTCATATCCTAATTATACGTTTGCCAGCAGACTAGATTCCTTGAGGACAAGAATATATTTCCTAGCCCGCAATACCTCCCAGCACAGTGCTTGACACAAGTGATTGGTATATTTTTTAAAAAATAATTTTTTACAATTGTTTATTGTTGTTGAGAGTACACACAGCAGAGCACACACCAATTTAACAATTTCTACAGGTGCAATTCAGTGACGTTGATTATATTCTTCAAGTTGTGCAACCGTTCTCACCCTCCTTTTCCAAATTCTTCCTCCCTCATTAACATAAACTCACCCCTAATTTTCCTACCAAATCTTGCAAGTTGCTATCATCAATTGGAAACCATTTGGATAGTTCTTAAAAGAGCACAATGTTCACAGCAGATATTCTTTACTAATTAAGCTAAACTATTACTTGGTTTAAAGAAGACTTCAGGGAATAGTTTTGATTTAAGGTTTAAAGATTATCTCAGAGCAATAGTTTTGGGGGTTCATCCAGCCTCTATGGCTTCAGAAGGTCTGGATTCAAGGAGAATTTGAAATTCTATTATGCATTTCCCCCTTTTTGACTGGGATTCTTCCATTGCCTCTATGATCAAAATGTTTAGTAATGGTAGCTGGGCACCATCCAGTTCTTCTGGTTTCGTGGCAAAGGAAACAGTTGCTCATGGAGACAATTAGCCACACATTCCATATCCTCCTGCTATTCCTGACTCTCCTTTCTCTGCTCCTCCAGCAAAGAGAGACCAATTGTTTTATCTTGGATGGCACTTGCAAGCCTGATGGGTAATTCTTGATGAAATAGGCCCTTGTGCAAAGCACCTTCTGGCGGAGGCTGCAGAAACCACAGACTCATCCTTCTTAGCATCTGCCCCTCCCATCTCTGTCCTACTCCCTGAGCTGCCTCAACCTCCTCTTCCTTTGGTTATCAGAGGACTGGGGGTTGCGGTGAGGGGTGGGGAGAGAAGCCTGCTTTCTCCCATAGAGCCCAGTCCCCTCCTCAGTTGCATAAGAGAGGGACAGAGTCCACTAAGTTCCAATCGCCTTGCCCTCAGTAAGCATTTTCCCACATCTCTGAAATTCTCCAACACCTAGAAAAGCACATGTCATCTAAAATGTAAGCTCCATGAGACAAGGCCTTGGCCGGTTGTCCTCACAGAGTTATTTGCAAGTTCTAAGAACCGACCAATCAACCCAACTGCCCAGCCACTGGGGAGCGGTTGAGTGTGTGTGAACGTCTTTATTTATACCCTGCCTGTTCTCTGTTTTTCAACTTTTGAAATATATATATATGCGTTACCAATAAATTGAGAAATAGGCTTTATTTTTCAAAACGACATTGTGAGGGTGGTGAAGAGGCTGCTCCAGGCTCAGCATCTGCCCCTCCCCGGGTCCGCCTCACCCCATTGCCCGGAGATGTCCTCCGGGACTGTGCCAGATTAGACGGCGCCCCAGGGCCTTGCGGCTCTGGCCTTCCCCACCCCAAAACCACAGGGCACCCAGCAAGGTAGGAACTACGAAGTAGCCGTGCCTGTTCCAGACTGGAAATGCCACCTCCAGCTGGGCAGTATCCCACAGGCGGGCAGCACCTGCCTCCAGTGGCAGGCCCTCCGCCAGGGCACGGAAGGGGTTAACCCTGTTCCCCAGGAATTCCCAGAAAGTACTCTTCGGAGGAATTTCCCAGACTAGCAGAAGACAGACAGACAGACACCTCAGACAGCTCCCGCCACTGAGCACAGATGTTCGCCTGGGGGTGAAGATGCCAACACGGCCAACACATCTTTGCGGTGAGAGGTCGCCGCAGGCAGAACCGAGACAGACTCGCCCGAGCAGGCTGAGGGCGGCGGCGGGGGAGCGGCAGCGGCCGAGTCGTCCGCAGGTCGAGTCTGCGCGCCGAGGTCCCGTCTGTTGTCTCCATCTGAATCCCACGAAAAAAAGAAAATAACAAACAAACCCCTATGGTCAAGTCAATGCCGACTCATAGCGACCCTATAAGACAGAGTAGAACTGCCCCGTAAGGTTTCCAAAGAGCGGCTGGTGGATTCGAATTGTCGACCTTTCGGTTAGCAGCCGAGCTTTTGACCACTGCGCCACCAGCGCGCCTCTGAATCGCACACGAACTGCAATTCTCCGCTATGTCCGCCAGGCGTCGCAGCGACCCTAGGAGGGATCGGGGTGGTGCGAGTGTGTGCTCTGGGTCGGCTGTCTGTCTGGGCAGTAGCATTTAGCAATTTTTTTGTATAACTGGTGGCTTCGTCTATTTATCCTACAGGTCTTGGGGGGTTTCCGAGGGCAGGGATTTTGCTTCAAGCTACCCTTACCCTATCGTGGTCGACCACAGCGCCAGGGGCCTAGGAGTGCGCCACTAGGTTATGAACGATCCAGGAAGCGATGGATGGATGGGATCAAAGCCTGAAGTGAGGATGTGGAGCAGAGCGCCAAACCAGAGAAGGAGGGCTCCGCGTCGCGTTCTTGCTCAGAATTCCTCCCCACCCCTCTCCCCCTGGCTCGCTCCAGCTCTAGATGCAGGCAGGGCGGGAGCGGACACGGCCCTGCCAGGCTGGGCTGAGCGAGCCCGAACCTGCCCGGGCTAAGCGACACAGCCCAGGGACCCCACGCCTTCCCGCCCTTCCCAGGCGGTCAGAGAACAGCTGAGTCTGCCCAAAGCCGCTTCCTCCAAGGGACCGTCCTGAGCTACCCTCTCTAAAGCCACCAGCCCTCCCCTCTCTAACCCCCCTTTGCTTGTTCGTTTTCAAAGCAGTTAGTCCAGCAGTAGTTAAAGTTTACTGAACAGTGATTTCACTCACTCAACAAATATTTACTGATCATTTACTACTGTGTGCTAAGTGCTGTGCCGGGCTCTGGCGATACAGCAGTGAACAAAGCAGACAAAAATCCCTGCCCTCACGGAGCTTCGATTCTATGGGACATATGAGCTGGGATGCGGTACTCTCGTCAGGGGCGCGCGGGAGGCTCACACCCAGGTGTCCTCCCAGGTGAGCAAAACGCGCGTGAGGTGCCGCCCTGGCGCCTCTCAGGAGGTAGACTTCGGCCCCGGCGGGAGGGGCGGGCTGCACCTCCCCGTAAACGCGGGGTTGGGCACGTCGCTTGGGGCAGGTGCGCTCCGAGGTAGCCGTTCGCAGAGCCCAGCTCTGACCCGGCCGCGGGGTTACGGGGCCGAGCCCTTAGTCCACGCTTGGCAAATATTTATGCCACGCGCTGCAAGTCCAACCTCCTGCGGCCTGCGCCCCGCGGGGGGTGGAGGCGGGCCTTGCCCGCCCCCACCCCTGGCTTCTCCCCGGGCGGTCAGCGCCGGACTCGCGGCGGCGTCCGGGCCTGGAGTAATTACGGGGGCTGTCGCCAGGCCTGGCAGTAAAAGAGGAGGATGAAATGGCCTGGGAACTGGGGGAAGCTGGGCCCGGGCCGGCCGGGGACCTCAGGTCCGCGCCCTCCCGCCAGGCGCAGCCCCAGGGAAGGGTCGGCCAGGGGTGCAGATACACGACACCCGTAACACGCATACAGACAGTCACACAACTACACACAGAAGCAGCAGACACACAGCCTTCGGCCCTCCCGCCTCAGGCACACACACGAGCCTCATGCAACACCTGCCCGCCCTCCACTCAGGAGCTGAGAGGCAGACACCGCCCGCCAAACCCCATCCAGACGGCAGCAGATCCCAGCAGGGCGAGGAGCCCCGAGAGGTGAATTCCAGCGGGTTTGTTTACACGGCACGGAGGAGGGGCCCCAGCTGGGTGTAGGAGCCCGACTGACTGGGAGACTTAGCCCAGACTGGGCCAGACCCAGCCGCCCAGCTTGGGGACGCCACACAGACACCCCTAACACACACAGACACATACAACGCCTCACCCCCGTACACGTTTCCTCCCCTCTTCACGTGCTGTTCACAAACATTAGCATACGTAGGTCAAAGAGTTTCACACGCTTCCCACACGCTGCTGTGATATTACTCGCAAATGCTTTCACACTTGCGCGCCATCACGTGTATTTACACACGCCAGATGCACTTGTGTGGTTACAGTTTGTCACGCTTCCTGCCCAGACTCTCACAGTCCATATTCAAGAGCCCATTCGCACGGTACACGCGCGTGTGTTGCCACACACACACACACACACGCACATACAGCGGACTCCCTCGCGGGCCCAGGGTCCTGCGTGCGCGCACTGATAAACAGAGGCGCCCTTAGCCCCGGCCGCACACGTTACACACTTGATCACACACAGGGTCGCACTTTATTCCCAGCATCCAGGCGATGACATAACCTCCGGAACAAAGGCAACATTGACAAACCCAGCAAAAACAAACAGCCGCGTGTGTGGGGGGAGGGGCAGTGGAGCGCAGAGTCCGGGAACCCCCGGGGGTGAAGGGGGGGGTTTGAAGAAAAGGGTGGGAACGCGGGCGCCCGATCGTAGGGCGCGCAAGGCTTGGGAAAGGTGCGGCGGGGCATATCAACAACCTTGCACTCTGCGTGAACTGCGCAGAGCGAGCAAAGCTCTGCCCCGCATTGGCGCGATCGCAGACCCGCAAGTACATGCTCCTTCCCTTTTTCCGCATGCAACTGAGCCCAAATCCGCACCCGGCACAGGCCCACAAAGCTGCACACAGACCTACAAGTGAATGAACACACACCTCAGAGCAGATTTGTCGAAGCCGAGGCGCGCGCACCGCTCCCTCCCACAACCCGGGCCCCCTCCTCTTCGCTCCCTGACCTCCTCCCGCTCCCCAGCCCCCAAGCCCCGGGGCCGCCGCGCGCCGGA